GTCTTAACTTTTATAAAGAATATCTCTTTGGGTTTGAGACTTTAGTCTTTGCAACTTTAGGGATCTTATCTGTTCACGAACAACTTGTAACACTCCAAAGAGAAAGGAAAACTTGAAATTGCATCATATGATCCCTTTAAGAGTTATGTTTGACTGTGCTGCTGCTTTCTGTGCAAATTCACTAAACCAAGAACTACTTCCAGGGCCAAATTTGACCAACAATTTAGTTGGAGTATTACTCCGATTCCATAGAAGGAATGTTTCACCAAGTTAGAGTGCCCAGTGAAGATACAGACTTTTTGCTTTTCCTTTGGTGGCCCAATGGCAACATTACAAAAGCTCTTGTAGATTTTAGAATGACCGTGCATTTGTTTGGTGCTGTATCTTCCCCCAGTTTTTCTCTGAAACAGACAGCCAAGGACAATCGAGAAATATCACAAAGAAATTATTGACACAGTGCATAGACATTTTTATGTAGAAGACTGCCTGAAGTTTGTCAAACACAGTGCAATCCACTGCCTTGTATACTGACTTGAAATATCTTTGTTCCAAAGGTGGGTTTAAACTTACAGAGTGGATCAGTAATAGCAAACCTGTCCTCAGAGTCATTTCTGATGAACATAGAGGTAAAACAACTAGAAAGAGCACTTGGTGTTCAGTGGAATGTGTAAAACGACACATTTGCATTTAAAATGTCTAAAGGCATAACCTGCTACAAGACGAGGTATCCTCTCAGTGATTAGCTCTATATACAATTCATTGGGCTTTCTATCTCCAGTAATTCTTACAGCCAAAGTGCTCCTTAGAAACCTTTGTCAGAACAAATGTAGATGGGATGATAAAATTCCAGAGGTTTTCTCAGTTCAGTGGCAGAAATGGTTGGAAGAACTCCCTCAGCTACATGCCTTTCATGTAAGTAGATGTCTGATTCCCGATGGATATGGGGAGGCCACTACCTGCCAGTTACACCATTTTTGTGATGCTAGTGAGGTAGTTTGTGGAACCAGCATCATACTTGAAACTAACAAATCAAAGTGTCCGCATGCATGTGTCCTTTCTAATGGGCAAGGCACGGGTAGCTCCATTAAAACACACAACAATTCCAAAACTTGAACGTGTTGCAGCTGTTTTGGCAGCACGGATTTCCTAAAGTCAGAACTACAGATGGAACTAGCAAGTTCTGTGTTCTGGTCAGACAGTATGACAAAATTGGAACCACAACACACCTCCTTGTTGAGGATATGATTCAAGCAGAACAGTCTATTCTATTTCACATCCAAAGCCAACATTTTCATAAAGAATATCAGTGTCTACAAAAGGAAAAGAACTGTGTTGGAAAGTGCAGTGCAATATACAAACTGGATCCTCAAATGTTCAGTGGACTAATCAGAGTTGGTGGTAGACTTTGCTGAAGTGCCCTACCTACTGAAGTCAAGTCAAGTCACCTTTATTTGTATAGCGCTTTATACAACACTGGTTGTGTCAAAGCAGCTTTACAGTGTTAAACAGGAAAATTTTATTACCTCAAAAAATATATGTTTATATAATTATCTGATTAGCCTACTCGATTAATCGTCAGAATAATCGACCGATTACTCGATTACCATAATAATCGTTAGTGACAGTCCTATGTGTGTGTACATGGTGGTATTTTACAAGCTGAGAACTCACAAAGAGCTTATAAAATACGTAAAGGAGTCAGGAATTCCTCTGATGCACACACAAACGAAGATCTGCTGCAACGAGACAGCGGCTCCAATACCAGTACCAAGCTGTAATGTGTTTCGGTTTGTGTAGATATATTTTTGTCCATATTGCATTCATATTTTAGTCGAACCGCACCAGAGTTTGTTTGGAAGTGGACTGAGACCCCCGGAAATGATGGGTCTCTGTCTGCATGTTTGGTGTGCGCTCTTATCAGATGAACTGCTGTAGAATACCCTGGATTTAGGGCTGGGCGATTTTTCAGATTTTATCGATTAGTTCGAATTTAATGTTTTGCCACGATTTTATTTTTTATAAATCGGGGAATCACGGATTTAGTCGCATATGCGAGTGATTTACTCGCAATGTAGAGGGTTGATTTTTAGAAAGCCGTTTCATGCTTGAGATGCTGCAAGAGACACAAGCGCAACAGTCAAACGCGTCCATGTTCACATAGAAAAACAATGGAAAAGCAGCACAATCGAATAAAAGCCTGTAAAGGACTACTACTGTATGTCTGATATTTAATGTTTGCATCATGGTGACAGGCTGAAAGCTGCTGTTGATTTTACAGAACATTTACAGTTAATAATAGTCTACTGGTGTTATACCTTGTCACCTTGAATCACCTTGACTTTTGAGATTTTTTTTAAAGCATATTCCTTGTATTATTTCTGAACATATAATATGTATAAGTCAAGTTTGTACAAGATGTAGTTGTAGTTCATGCATCTTTTCTGCAAAGATATTTAACAAGTGATTTGTTTAACATTTACATCATGTTGACATCTTCATGTGTGCTGCACTTGGAATAGAATTTTCTTTAACTAGAGGGTTAATAAAGAAAAAGTTGCTTGAATCATGTTGTAGTTACATTTTCAAGTTGACTTGTTAAAAATAGTAAAATTCGAGAATCGGTCAAACGTTCTGAAAAAAAAAAAGAAACTTTTTTTTTTTCTTTTTTTTTGCCACGTCGCTCAGCCCTACCTGGATTACTTGGTTACTCAGAAACAATTCATCTTTTTTTTTTTTTTTGACATTGATAATGTGCAAATTAAGCTTAAACTAGTGAGAGTGTGAAAAGTGTTTATTTTTTCTAAATGTCCACAGATCCCAAATAGCCCATAGATGAAGAAACTCCCACATTGTCAAAATTGAAATAGGAGAATTATTGGAGCTTCACTCCCTGCCGCATCTGACATTTCTGAACAAAACCCACAGCATCACCGAAGACCTCAAACTCTTTGTGGGAGGGAAATAATAAATATTCTCCAATGCAGTTCCCCTTTTTTATTTCAGGGTGAATCAAGACCTTTCTTGACTGGTTTAATGAGCATCTGTCTTCAGATTTTGTTTTCATGTATGCTGATATTAGAGAATTTGTATATTTGCTGTCAGTGTAAGCTGGAAGGTGATCTGTGATCTGTCCTCAGGTGTTTTTGGTGCGGAAATTAATGGGTCCAGATGCCGGTCAACTTTATGCAATGAAGGTGCTCAAAAAGGCATCTTTAAAAGGTCAGTGAGTGTCTGCGTTAGTGCCAACACATTTCTGTGATGATATACTCGCGTTTATTCATCATTTGTGTGTGCTGTGTTGCAGTGAGGGACAGAGTTCGCACTAAGATGGAGAGAGATATTCTGGTGGAGGTCAATCATCCTTTCATTGTGAGGTTGCACTATGGTAAGACTCTTGGAGAAACCTTCTGAGTGATAGTTATGGGGTTGTTTCGCAAGATGTAGCTTTGTAATAGAGTAAACCAACGTTCATCTTGGTTTGGTCAGCGCTGTATGCAGCTCTGTTCAATGATCATTTGAGCCGATTTTGGTGAAATGTGCACATTCCAGACTGTTTGCTGAAGTTTTCAGCATCACTTAAGCCCAGTGACTGTGTAAATGTGACGCTTATAAACTCAGAAAGCAGTACTGTAATGACGGTGTATGTAAACATTTCTCAGTCTGTAAAATCTGTAAAATGTGATCTATTTAAAAAAAATAAAAATAATCCATTGTATACAATGAATATAGCCTTAAAGGGACCATTTAAAAGTGATGTTGTTCCTCTGCTTGCTTTATTTATTTCTTTTCAATGGTATGGTTGACATTTCCATGGAATCCCCCGGCTCTGATAGTTTTCTCTCCACTCACTCACAGCCTTTCAGACAGAAGGGAAACTCTATTTAATTTTGGATTTTCTCAGGGGTGGGGATGTATTTACTCGTTTATCCAAAGAGGTAAGCATCTCTTGTTCTGCTCTGTCTGATTCACGATGTTGATGTTAACAGACTAACAGCTCCTCATATAATTATCTTGTGTTGCTATTTTCCAGCAGTTGATTGTTTGTAATGTCCAAATGTCTGATAAAGTGTGTTGTGTTCATTTGCAGGTTTTAAAAAGCTAAGCTAGACTATAATTTTAAGGCCTGTTCACACCCAAAGTGATATGAACAGGAAATGACATGCATCCCACATTTTGCTGCAACAATTATATGCACAAATAACCCAAAATTTCATCCAGAGTTTAATTTTCTTACGTTCATTTGCATGCTTTAATGCAGGACTCATTTGACTATACAGATTTATTCTTTAATGCAAGATACACCTTTATTGTTGAACTGTAATGATATCTCCTGTATCGTGCTATGAAACCCAAAAGCTTACATTATATTGGTCAGTGAGGTTTTTTCTCTACCATTTGGAAAAAGTTGGCATGAAATGATTTGCTTTTGCAGTCAGTGTGTTGGGATCCACAGATCATTTTTAGTCGCAGTGAAACTTTGCATTGATAGTTAGCAGGCCTTTAGTCTGTGTACATTGCCAGCCATTTGTGTTTCAATTTTCTCTCATGCTCT